AAGAAAGAAAAACCTGTAAATAGATCAAGGTCTGTTTTTGACCTCTAGGCGTGTCCTCCAGTCGAGTCTGATGGGTGCCATGCTCTGGCCCCAAAGTCTATTCTTTGCACTCCCTCAGGAGCTCCCTGCTCTCCTCCCCCCATTGCTCTGCCTTACACCCTTGGTGTTTTGCCTCGGTGTGGTGGGGTCAGACCGGGCCAATCCCAACACTGAGTCTCCAGTGTTGTCCCCTGTAGGACCATGGGTCAGCGACCAATCTATTTTTGGCATTCCTTGAGGACTTCATTGCTTTGCTCCCCTTGTTGCTTTGTTACATGCCCTTAGTGTTTTGTCCTGGTGTGGTGGGGTCAGATTGGGCACAATTCCTACACAGTGGGAATTTCTAGCACAACTTATACTATACAAACATCAGAAAACAGGAATCATTTTTAGAGGTTTAATGAGACTATAAAATGAAATCAGTTATAATAATAATATAGTTTATATTATCATAAAAGAATCTAGGTTATATGATAAAGAAACCTTGACTATTATCTGGTAAACATTGTTGGTTGAGCAGATATAGAAATGGCAGAATGCTAGGCCATTGCCAAAGAATGCCTTTATTACAGTTAAGAGCACCAATTTTGAAGACAATTCTAACTTCCTTGAAGGATAACACAAACAGCTGGAAGTATTTAATATAGAAATCAGTACATATTTTGGTTAAAGAGCAATGAAAACACATTTCAAAAGTGTGTTAAAACATATTTAGATGAAAACATTCGTTTCATTAGGAAAATGATAACTTTTACAATTGCTTGAGGTGTTGCAATATGTCCACTGACATTCCTAGCTGTTGTAGTAAACTGGCTGTCTGTTCTAAAATCCAAGTGAGGCTTGGGCTTTCAGAATGTGCATGCTTGTCTGTTCCACAGCTTTCTAAGTAGGAACAATCTATCCCACCAGGACTTTTGCTACCGTTTTTGTTAAACTTGGCACTATTTTCATAGAGTCTTTCATCCTTAGCTTCATCAATCTTTTTCTCAGCTGGAACTGCAGGACAAAGGTCCATATTCTGAACGGAGTCCAATAAATCTACAACTTGGGGTGGTGCTGTGATTGATTTCAGATGTTTGAGCACATACTCCTCACATTGGCCAACTGCATCCAGAAGATGATTTATCTTACCGATGAAAGCCGGACTGTTACCATGAAGGAGACACCACGAGAGCAAAGCACTGCAGGAAAACATGAGCAAGAGTTAACTACGAGAAAAACCAAACAAGCACAGACTTTGAGAATTCTTGGTGCGAACCTCTATATGCCTTTCTCTTTCACAAAATACCAGGCAAAAATGACTTAATGAGGTAATATTTGTAAAAATCAGGAAATTAGTCATGGATTTTAAAATTAAGGAATGAAATATATGCTGTATATACTCATGTATAAGCCGAGTTTTCCAGCACCTTTTAATGGCAATTTTTGTGGTAAAATTAGGTACTTCGGCTGATATTTGGGTTGGCTTATACTCGAGTATATGTGGTATATGTATGAAATGATCTTTCTATATAAATTTAACAAGTGGATTTAATTATAAAAATTCAATAACACAAAACAATTGGTTTTAATCACATTTCTTGGAAAAGTAAACAACTCAGAGAAAGAGAGGTCAAAAATGAGTTTCTCCCTTAAACATATCAAAGTTTCTAAGCTAGTGATTCTCAATTGTGTTTGCACATTAGAATCAATTAGGGGAGCTTTTGAAACTATTAAGCCTGGGTCATACCTCAGACCAATTATACCAGAATCTCTGGAGGTAGGACCCAGGTGTCAGTCTATTTTAAAAAAGCTTCTTACATAATCTCAAGGTGCAGCCAAGGTTGAAAATCATTGTTGGAAACATACAGGTACTTCCCATCAAGAATAAAGGCTGGATGAAAAAGCTTTGGAAGCAATTTCACTTTCCTGGCTTTGCTGTTGAATACACATTGGCAAAAAAAAAGAAAGAATACACATTGGCTCCTAAGCTGTTAACAATTTTTGGCAAGAAGGTAAGAAACCTTCTAGCTAGAGAGCTACTTGTATATATCTAAAGTAATTAAAAGGAAACCTTTTCTAGTAGGGATCCAAAAGAAATTTTGCCGTCGTCATTTCACTCGTTCTCGTAATCACATTGTTATCTGTCTGTCCAATCGACTCTGCCTCACTGGGACCCTGTGGGACAGAACTGCTTCATAGCTTTCCTGGTTGATAATCTCTAGGAGCGCAGGCCACCATATCCTTTCTCCCACAGGGCTGGTAGCTGAGTGCTTAGTCACTGCGCTACTAGGGAGTCTTTCAGTTAATCTTCAAAGTCATAACCTAATGATAGATGTGAACCTATCTAAAAAATGGAATTGACATAAAAATTAATTAAGCAATAAGCTTTCCAAGCTTATAAAAGATAAATTTCACTTAGTGATGTTACAATGAATACTTGATCATCTTCTGACTAGAATAGACTATAAAATTCTGATTCTGTCAAGGGCTCATGCGGGAG